AAAAAAAAAAAAAAAAAAAAAAGGAAGGGAAAACACAACAGCAGCGGTACGCGAAGCAATATGTGTACACACGTTGTAAAAACTGCACGACATCAATTCGCAGCAACGAACCATCTCGATTACCGCGAGTGACGGATTTACGAGAAGCGCGTCCGACTCACACCGAGAGGAAACCACCATCACCCACATCAACCGCCACTGCGATTTTCCGTCGTGCGTGCACACGCTCACACGCACGTACGCGTAATCCGTAAACACGCACACATACACAGGCCGCCACGCATCACGCACCGAGCGATCGGCGCGCGAGCGCGATCATCGATAGCCCGTGTGCGCGTCTCCTACATAGGGATTTGATTTACACTTCACACTCACCGATAGCAGACTCCAGTGTCCCGAGAGTCGGCGATGGAGGGTGGCGAGAAGAGTCCGGAAACGTGCCTAGGGAAAGACGACGCCGCGCCTGATAAATCCAGCGTCCGTGGCCGAGGGATCCGAGCAGCAGCAGCAGCGGTGGCGACGGCGGCGGCGGTGGTGGTGGTGGCGACGAAGACGACGACGACGCACACTTGACAACGGGCCGCACACTAAGGTTGCACACTGCTACCTTGGCACTGTGATCCGCACGCACACGCGAATTACGTGAAGGAAAGCCGCGTGCGATCGACGTAGGTGGTCACGACTACGAGACTACCACGATCGCTCTACTACTACTACTACCGCGAACCTCAACAACGCCGACGACGCAGATGACGAGGTGCGAGTAGTCCGACTACTCAATCGCGCGCGGTTCCTCGGCTTTTCGTTCGTTTTCGGCCGCGCGCGTCGGTACGACTTCGCGCACGATATCACGGCGACTACGACGACGGGAACGACGAGGTTCTCGCTCTGTCTCGTCCGCGAGTCACACAGTGGTCTGTTACACTCGTAACGCCGTCGGCGACGAAGGGACAATTCGTGTGTTTTGCTTTGTGTTTTGCCCCTTACCGACCGCGGTACTACGAGGACGACAACGACGACGATGACGGCGACAAGGTCGGTCAGTCGATCCACCGCGATGCCGTGCTAGCGACTGTTCTCGGGAGACTGGCGGCCGCAGTCCGATCGACCAATAGCTGGCCGGCTTTCACCGAGCGCCATCTTGCTCCTACCCGAACACAAAGAGGCTGCCCGGCCGAGCATCCACGGAAAGGCACGAGCGCCGCGCTCGCTCTCCACGGTCGCCAACGTTCCCACCCCTCCGCGCGCGCTATATCGCCACCGCACCGCCACCCTAACCCACTACCACCATCCCGGGCGGGTAGATCGACGTGCGTTTTGCGGCTTCGCTCCTTCGTCGGTGTCCCAACTTTCGATATATCGGAAGGGGGTTTTACGTGCGAGATTAAGCGGCGCCGCGCGAGGGTGCGAAACGGCGCGAGAATCCGAAAGATTATTGTTTCCGCGAAACGCCGAGAGATGTGTTATTAGGGGGGCCGACGACGGGGCCCCTCGAAGCCGAGTTCTCGCGTGACTACCGATATTTCGGAAGGCCGACTCACCTATACGACGCGGTAAACACGACGATTTGTAGCGCTGCTACGAGTCGCCGTGACGGCGAGCGTCGGTTCGCTCCACACCCCCGCGAGATGCTCATTTTCAGCGACCGCTTATCTTGACCGTCGCACACGCGCGTACTTGCCCTCGACACTCTCGACAACGGGATGATTCGCGAAAGAGACAGAGAGAGAGAGATACTACTTTTTGCAAGGTCGAGAATGCGGACGGTATCGATCAGGATCCTCAGCTCGCGCAACGTAACACTTCGGGCGATATTTCTGGCCAAATATTTCGGGAAATATTCGCTATCGGCGGTTGATTCACGACTGACGAGTGAAATTACCTTTTGGCACTCACGACGACGACAAATCGCGCACGATTTGGATCGCGACAGATGCGGGACTGCTTTCCGACTATGTTATCGTTGCGTCGCGATCCGTTATTATTTCGAACAACACAAAGCATCAGGATTGAGTCGTTGGCCAACAGAGGCCGTGGCGTACAAAAAGAACGTAAACAATGGACTGGTTTACATCATACACTTGATACGCGTACTAAATTGTAACTCTTTCTATTAAATAATCTTAACGATAACATCGACATATTGTATCGATTGAATGCGTCGTCGTTGATATGCATTGTCAATATTAAGATTATTTAATAGAAAGTTACACTATTTAGTATGCGTATCAAATGCACGATGTAAACGAGACCAGTAAAGCTCCTTTTTCTTATTATTATTATTATTATTGTTTTACTTTGACTCAGACTTATCTCTATTACCTTTTCATCCAAGGTCCCGACAAATTTTTAAAAAATCAGGTCCAATATATTCGAACACGTCTTAACGTAACGGCGGTTAGACTGGAACTACCCTTATAGAAAAGTATCACTGGCTGTGATAAATTGGCCAGTAATAAATAGTAATTTTATTACTCGTACGAGTAATAAAATTATTGAACGACAGTAATTATCACTGGCCAAATTATCACTTATCAGTATTAAATTTCTATAAGGGTATAAACAATAAAGCGAGAAACACTCTTCCATAAAGGCATAAGGCACAACGCGTAAGAAAATTGACCAATCAGAGTTCTTCATTTTCATCGTGGCAATAAAAATGAGGACTCTAATTGGTTCATTTCCTTACGCGTGTATATTATAGTTGCTTTCCAACACAAGAGACACAAGTCGACACAAACATCATTCTATCTTTGTTCCACATTTAGTGAGTAACAAAGATAGGATGATACTTGTGTCGACTTGTGTCTCTTGTTAGAAAGCAACCTATGTCTTCATGTAGAGTGTGTGCTTTCCGCTTAAATAATTCGAGCAACCACACTCGATTCTTCTTATTGTCTATAAAATAATCGAGTATCTGGGCGATTTTCTTGCTCAAATCGAAGTCGTTTTTACTGTTTACGTTTTTTGTGTTCGCTATCTACACCATTTGTGCTGCTAGCCGTTGCTATGATCCGGAACAGTGACGATTATGATTATTTTCAGGTAGCAGAATAATATCGAGTGATGTATCAATAAACATAACACAACGTCTAAAATCGAAACATAAAATGTTTAAAAGACGCTTTAAAGACGTCTCTCAAATATCGGAATATAAAATGTCTTTAAGATATCTTTAAGACATCTTTAAAACGTCTTATGTCCCGATTTTAGACGTTGTGTGGGGTCTTAGTGACGTCTTTAACCTCAATAGATATCCCATATAGTACAAATGTTCAATAAATATCCTAAGAACGTTCTAAGAATATTCGAATATTCTTAGAACGTTCCCCATATAGCACAAGATTTAAAAGATATCTTAAAGACACCAAAGGATTGCTAAATGTCTGCATAAGTCCTCAGAATATCCTAAAAATATTCCGAAGTCTTTTAAATGTCCACACAAGTCCTCAAGATATCCCTTCAAGATCTTATGATATGAGAGTCTTAGGATATCTTGAACATTTGTAGCTATATGGAGTCTAAAGTTAAGTCGTATAACAAAATTAAAGTCGAAATTCACTTTCGTTCCGAAATTCACCGGCAGTACTATGAATGCCGTTCCGAAATGCGCGACAGAAAGCTTCCGAAGCACTTTCGTGTTCATATGACATCATAAATTTTAATACTACTTTCGTAGACTCGCGAAGTGAAGCATTCGCAATAGAAACATAGCGGTATCCATAGAGTGTGCCTTAATAAAGCATAAAATAAGTACTCGACTCCACGATAACGCGTGCAATACTCCCAGTGAGCAATCTGTTAGCAACTTGCCGACAGATTGGCGACAGATTCGATCAGGATCTGTCCGCAGATCTGTAGACGTCTGCATTTGGCTCATGTGTTCTGATGACAGAGTCTACTTACAGAATCTAACAACAGATCGGCGGCAGAAAGCGAGTAGGACCTGCAATTCCATTTTAATATATTGGAATATCTGATCGCTTTCTAACGTTAGTCTGTCATCATATTTAAATCTTGTGGATTTCTACTAGCAAGTATTAACAGAATTTACAACATGACGTGAGTATGTTCTCAAAATGTCTTTAGAATGTGGAGATTTGTGTTGTTTGACACAAAATTTAGAGTGGACTTTTTGGAACATTTGTTTACGTACTGTGTACACAAGATTTTTTACATGTATATATTTGACGACTATTTAATGATATTTCGTCTCAAAAGACATCTGAAACTTTATTTCGGCGATGATTCACGTCAGATTGTCCGTTGGCAGGTCAAGGATGTAAACAGTATTGATTTGGGTCCTCAGCTTCACGTAACTCTCAATACTTTGCGCAACATTCCCAACAGTCTATCTCACGAAATATTCTTTTGTTTATTGGTTAGTGATTGACACGTGAAACTTACTTTTGCCGCGGAAAAAATATGGAAAAGTACTTTTCTAGTGCGTCGTATCGCCCTTATAGAAAAGTATCACTGGCTGTGATAAATTGGCCAGTAATAAATAGTAATTTTATTACTCGTACGAGTAATAAAATTATTGAACGACAGTAATTATCACTTATCAGTATTAAATTTCTATAAGGGCGGTCCGTTCCGTATAAATGATTCGTCCAAGTCGCTTGGCATTTTGATAGTAGTATATTTGTAATTTGTTCATCGTAAGTACAATTGCATCGTATTCCCATAATTAAAGAATTGATACAATTAACGAAGTGCGAATGAGATGTGAGAAATAAAAGCAACGAATTCGTGCTATGCATAGTAGCAAAGCGCGGTTGAAATTCAAAAAATCTTTGGAGAGCACAAGTAACTCCATCTCGAGGTAAAGTGACGCTCGGTCGATAGAAACAGGGTTTTATTGTTACGTCCATGCGGTTTCTGAGGAAAAAGAGTGCGCACTTTGCGGTTATGTTTACTCGGTAGAACGATATTTTTAACAAAGTCGTGTAACGCACTCTTTATTAACATTTGTTCCAACAATGGCAGGGCGGGCTCCGTAAACTCGGAACGTAAATACATTCGTTTGTGCCACTTTCACACACGAGTAGTCGTAATTTACAAGGAACAATGGCAATGCACGAGAAGAAGAAAAACTGGACGAACGAGGAGCGTTTAACGCTCGCCGCCAAACTGGATGACGAGTTGAGCGAGTACATCGACAGCTTGGAGAAGAAGAAATACACGGAAGGATGGTCGGAGGACAAATGGCAAGAGGAAATGGACAAACATCCCTTCTTCATGAAAAAGGCGCCAGCACCCGGCGACGAGCTGTCTCCACTGATGGAGGGATTACAACAGCTCAAGTATGGAGAGGACGAGAATACTCCTGAAGGTATGCTATCTACAGTGCCAAAATTACACGCTGTTCTCGCTTGTAACGCGAAATATTCGCCACTATTTTTCGATTCACACACAAACTCCGCACGATGTATTTGTCTTTGATACTTGTATAGAATTAGCGAATAATTACAAAGAGGATGGGAACTTCAACTATAAATACAAAAAGTATCGTCTCGCAATTATTAGTTACACTGAGGGGATTAAAACCAAGTGCAAGGATCAGGAGTTGATGGCTCAACTCTATAATAACAGAGCAGCTACGCATTTCATGTTGGAAAATTATAGGTATAAATTCTGATATATTGTATTAAATTCTGTATATTGTATAATCAATGCAATGGTCATTATTTTTATATTTTATTACTACAAATTGTAGATCAAGTTTGCAGGATTCTATGCTTGCTTTAAATTTTAAACCAGAATATCCCAAAGCTCTAACTCGAGTTGCTGTTTGTAGTTTCTACGTTAAGAATTACAATCAGTGTATTGAGTTTTGTGACAAGCTTCTCAGTCAGACACCAGCTGATAAAGAGATCTTGAAGTTAAGAACTGATGCGGTAGTTGCAAAAGTAAGTCAATAGTCAAGATGTCAATAAATAAATTTGTACATTTAAATTTAGATTGTAAAGATAGGGTTTCTCATAGAATATTAATGGCAACACAGGGATCTTTCGAAAGAGATAAGAGGAAGCAAGTAAAATTGGAAAAAAATTTGGAGAAAGAGGGTGAGAAATTATTGAAAGCAGTTTCAGAAAGAGGTATCACTGTTCTGACAAAAAACAAACTAAAGCTAGAATTGAGTGATCTGGAACACCACGAGCCACACATACTACAAGGAAAAGTAGAATTGAACGAGGAGGGCAGGCTACTATGGCCAGTGATGATTCTATATCCAGAACCAATGCACTCTGATTTTGTGCAGAGATTTCACGAAGATGTGCCGTATGTTTCTTATGAAAATCTCTCTTCTTTTCTCTCAATCACACTTTATTCTTTTGTTAAGGTGTATCTCTCTGTTGTTTGTAGAATCATAGAACAATTAACAGATTTATTTGAAGTGCCTCCTGAATGGGATACAAAACATGAATATCATGTAAAAAATATAAACGTATATTTCGAAGGCAAAAAGAATCGTTCTATTCACGCAGTGGACATTCAGCTGACACTGGGTGAAATACTACGGGACGAACGGTGAGAGTATTTTCTTATTGAGATGAGATGAGAGGAACGCATGCGGAAATTGTCGTTTAAATGTGCATATTTGTTTTCCAGGTTTATAGTCCGTCACGGTATCCCAACGTTCCTTGTATTGGTTAAATCCAGTGAGGCGGAAAGATATTTTCTAACGCAATATTATACTTAAGTTCTCCCGCTTACATTGTACAGGTTGTATACATTATTACTCGCGAATAAATGTTATTATATCAACGTCGTGCAACGTTGATATTTCCTTTTTTTTCTAAAGATAAATGCACTTGTGTCGTTGCCATCTAAATCCCGTGTCCTACCGTTTCAGCACTCAGAACGCCCGCTCCTTTCTCCCTAAGCCCACGCGGCGATTCCTCCGCTGCAGCCGCGCGATCGTTTCGCAGGACACGCGACGGAATCGGTAAGCGAGCAAGAAAGTCTCGGTCGCTCGGAAGGTGGTGCCACCTGCAACCAGCACCTGTGCACGCCAGGTGAGGCATAAAGAGACGGAGCCGTGGCAGCGTGAAATTCAGTTTGGCCGACACTGTGGGGCACGCAGTGCGCGCGTCATCTCGGCGCGGTTGACTTCGGAAATTGCACGCGAGCTCGCAGCCGTGTCGATCCGGATCGATCGGTGTCGAAATTGTGCTGCTGCTGTGCCGCGATCGGAAGAGAGAGAAAGACTCAACGGAGAGAATAAACGAGAGGCCCGTGCTCAAGGCCATTTACTTGGAGTTTGCCGTTTACTTCGAGGGGGAGACGCGCACGCCGTTGGGCAGACGCAGCGGCGGAACGGGACGCAAACGATGCCGAAGCAATGCAGGCAAGATTCCATGCGTTAACTTCTCGCGGAAATACATGCCCCTTCGCCTATCCGCATATCTCGTATTTTCAATACCTCGCCGGCTTTACGTCTCGCTCGTGCGCTTACGTCGATCGTAATAGCATCTGCTTTGCTTTTATCTTTATTATTATTAAGCGTTAGCTGATAAGCAATCAAAACTTTGTTATGAAATAATGCGAATAAGAGATTAATTGCTCTTTCACATTTCTCTTCCAACAATTATAATAAAACAACAATAATTACGATATATAATTATTAATGCCTTTTTGTATCTTATATTAGCTACACTGAGAAAAAAATGTTTGATATTTATTTGAATAATAGAGAAATAATAAATGTTGACTTTTATATGAAGGTAACTTTTTCTCGATATAAGTGTTAACATTTTTTTGAGTACTTTGTAATGTTAGTGATAATAACCTTATATGTATGTTTTTGTATATGTATGTCTATTTTACTACAAAAAATATGGTTGAGACTAAAAACAATTATAATTTTTAGATCAATCATTTTTTTCTCTCAGTGAAGAGAGGAGAAAAAGAGAGAGAAAAACATCATTTATTACACAATCTGAGATAACTTACTCTTAAAACATTTAAAAAACATACCATAGCAACGGTATTAGCAAACTATTATAATTATAATTAATTTATAATTATAAGTGAACAGAGGCGTGTAGCAAATGTGAGTTTATATTAAAGATAGGCAGTAAAAAAAAGGAAAGTGAGCAAGATCATAGAAAATTATAACCGCGTTAAACTGCAGCTCATCTTCTATAGTTCTGTGCCAATCTGGAGGTGCGTGAAAAAAAGGTGATGCTGGGTTACTTTCAAACTTTCTCGAGTTTTTGCGTAGGCATCTCGACGATCGAACGTTCAGAAAGTATGCAATTTCGAGATCTCACGGACCTATCGTTATGCAATTATCTCGGGAGTGTTCGCGTTTGCTCAATATAGAAATTAAATTAGAATTGGGAGACTCCGGATGAGCAATTGCAGTGTACCAAACGTGACAAAACTGTACGACGCCGGGAGATCCGGTTTCCACGAGGCATCGCCGTTCAATTCACGCATGTCGCTTCGGCCGTGTCACATTCTCTCTCCCTTTTTTCCTCTCTTTCATTTCGAAATAAAGCGCGAGGAATGCGCGTAATGATAATGAGCGGCGACGCGAGACCCGCTCGCGTATGTACACAATGGCACTTAGTGCACGACAATGAAACTATGTCGAGCATTAAATTATTCATGAGATCCGCGGCGCGTCGCGACACGCCGACGATCGACGCGCGTCGCGATTCACGCATTTTCGCGGTGGACGACGAGAGTTTTGCATTTGAATATGTGCGCGCAATTACGATTCGCGGTCCGCGATTCCAGTCCGGTCGGAAGCCATTCGCGTCGGATCCGCTCTTTCTGGGTCAAAATAGATCCCTCCCCGATTCTGGGGGGCACTGGAATCTCTCTCTCTCCCCTCCCTCTCTCTCTCTCTCTCTCTCTCTCTCTCTCTCTCTCTCTCTCTCTCCTTCTTTTTCTCTCGTGCGCGCGCGTGGAACGGCAGCCGAAATTCGCTTCGAACCATGCGACGTTCAGGATCCGCGGATGCGAAGGAATTAAGGAGGGGCACCGTGAGGAGGAGAGACACCGCCGATGGTCGGCTGCGTGTCCTAGTTTCGAGCGCAGGACGCGCCGAGCCACGGTGCATCTCTCCGTCCGATGCCCCGAGGGCCGATACGTGTCGAGGGAGTTGCGTCACGTGAGGCACGCATCGCGCGGCGAAGAAAAAGAAATTCCGACGGTTGAACCGGTTGCGATCACGAGTCGACGACGGTGATTTTCGAGTTTTCGGTCCCGGGAAGTCGCTTGCCAGCAACTCCACAACTCGGAATGTATGGATTTCCGTGATTTCTGATTTATATATTTCGCCCTTTCTCCCTCTCTGACGACCTGTCCGCTCTTTACACCGATCTACTCGCTGGCCCGAAGGCTGGAAGGAGACTCGGCCCGTTTTCTTTTTCCGTGCGCGGCGGGATCGCGCAGATTCCAATCCTGGAACTCTCTCTTTGTCCGAGCTACCTCCGTCTGCCCCCTCTCCTTCTCGGCGCGTTCGTCTCCGCTTCTCCTAGGCGACGATGTTTCACGCAACGCGTATGTAGTCGCATCGTGACACGGTCTAACGGCATTCACTCGACCTCGTCAACCCGTTCCTCTCGCGGCCGCGCGCGTCCACGTGCTTTCCCGTTTATTTTTTTCCTTCATACGGGAAAATATTCGCTCCGGCCGGCGTAGTCGCGATCCGCCGTCGAATGATCGATAAATGCAAATAGAAGAACGGTAAAACTCGCAGAAAGTTCGACAGACCACTTTTGTCAGCAATTGTCGAACAAAGCGATGTATGTATATTACAAAATTGCTGTTTGCGCAGCTCTCGTATGTGTCTCGAAATTTCTCTTCTTCTTCCTGTCGCCGTTCAGAGATCATCCGCGTCACAGTGAACGCAGAAGCAGTAATAGGAAAATACTTGGGGTGTGCATTTAAGTCGGGCTTTAATAATGCGCAGCGACGCGGACGCGATACATTACACCGCGACAATTGCTGCTCCAGTTCCGTCAGGAACATCGCAGGACAGCATTATGCGCGCGAATCTCGGCGCAAATTCATTTTCCCGGCGCGACGTCGATAAATAAACCAAAGCGACTCCTGGGCGGACGCGTCTCCGAAATAAAAATTTCCGGTCGCGGGCGACACCGCGCCGGGCATTGTATTGTCTGAAATTAAATGCGAGCTGAAGCGTACGCGGGGTCGCTTCGCGAGGTATCGTCGCGTCGAGCGAACCGCGAGATACCGAATTTGGAGGTAGTCGAATCTGCGAAAGATTTATCTGTGTTGTTACACGCGGGACTCCGTCGACAGAGCACGCGTGCTGTTCTTCCACCTCGCGATTTTTCAGCCGTGAGATCCGGCGACTAGAAAGATCGGGGAATGAATGTTCGATGTGTCAGCTGCGCGCATAAGCGAGCAACCAAGTTTCTCGTGCCGCAAGCACGAACAGTTGGGAAATATCGGGTAACGAGAAGCGGTTATTATATTGCCTCTTAAATTTTATCGTACCGTTAGCGATTGTCCCGCTCGTTTATTATCCAGATCGTTAGCAATTCGTTTCATTTCGTTTTAACGTCGAGAGTTCACGTAGCCGTTCCTCGCAACCAACACGCTGGTTGAGACTTGGCCTCGAGCACGAGAGAAAAATACGAAATTATCCGCATCTTCCCCCCCTCTCCCCTCCCTCCCTGTCTGTCTTTCTTTCTCTCGTTCTCTCGTTTTCGTTTTCCGTGTTCTCGGAGAAATTTCCTTATTCCATTTCGCGCGACCTTAAGTGGCAGACAGTCCGACGGATTTGTGTATTTGTGCTTGAAAAACGCCGGCGCGCTAGCCGACTCCTCCCCGACTCAAATGTAGGTCAATGCAAAATGAAATTCTATTTTCCCAACGGCCAGACCTTCCTCGTTCGCCTCGTTTGTCGATTTTAATCTAGGAATTTTTATACAAAGGCATTATTCCAGTAGCGCTGAAACTTTGTTACTCTCCGTTCCGTGATATGAAACTTTGAGATTGAAGGGTCGAGAGGGAGAGAGAGAGAGAGAGAGAGAGAGAGAGAGAGAGAGAGAGAGGCGGAATTTTAAAAAGAAATTCTCCGAGTCTACGGTCGAGTCAAATTACGTCCGACACACTAACGTAATTAATCATTGCTTAATTTCCTAACGTTACTAATTTCTCTTGCAGTTGACACACCGCGAGACCTCATGTGGTGAAAAAGCGCACGTTTCTAAGAGGCCATCGAGAAACCACGACGTCAAACGGTACTCGAGGAGGATTCTGAAGCGTCGGCGTTTCAGAATCCCGGGGAATCACGTGCGGCAGCTCCGTTCCAAGCAGAGGAAGAAGAAGGAGAGAAGAAGCGAAATATATAAACGATAGGAAGTAGGGAACAAGGACGTTCAGTCGGCGCGGTAATTTAAGCGGGACGACGCGCGTGAAAGGAAAGCGTCATTGAGAGAAGCTTCTCGCGGGTGACAATTAAAGAAGAGAATCCTTCTCTCATCTTGCGAGCCACCCACCCATTGAAATACACGTAATAAAAGATCGCGGTGCCTTCGTAACGCCCGAACGGTATTCCGCAATCCACCACCTGTGGCTTCTCCGATAGCTTCCCTCCGATAAGAGAGGAAGAGAGAGGAAAAGAGAGACAGACAGACAGAAAAAAGCGTCGTCGCAGGGCTCGCGACTTTCAGCTCGGGATTAATGCTAAGCCTTCCTCTTTAAAGAATACTCTCTTTCCATTAAAAAGGTAGGTATACATCGGCGCTCACAACCCCTCCGTTTGACGAACGATCGATTCTCGCGAGACTGCTGCAAGGAGGATGTCGAGTTACTTCCGAGGTTTTCGAGTAGCAGTAGCAGCAGTAGTAGTGATCGAGAGTGACCTGAAGTGACCGAAGTGACTGAAAAGGACGAATTGCCGAGAGAGAGAGAAAGAGGACGATCACTCTGATAAATGAAAGTCGAGAGCGAGTTTCTTGGCGACAACGAGCGACGACGACGCTTGTTTTTATTCGAGGATCAGCAGACAGAAAGCCGCCGACTACCGGAAGTGATCTCGGATGATCGCACCGGTCGCAGGAAGAACGAGAGGTCGTTCCCGTGGATAAGTAGAAAAAGACCGGTGAAAGTGACAGAGAGTCGCGACGACTCCCCCGACGGTGATCTGATTAATCGGATAGGATAAAGTAGGAAAGAAGAAGGAACGAGGGACAACGGTCTTCCTACGGTTCTTCCCTCCATTGGAGCTTCTTCTCGCCGAGAACCGTGGAAGGTCACTCGCGAAAAACGGCGAACCACTACGGGGTGCACTACGCGAACTCGTACGCGTGCAGCAACGGCGCACCGAGTGTATACACCACCGGCACCGGCTGCACCGCCAACGGCTGCGGCTTCAACGTGCAGCAGCTGCAGCCGTCGTCGCAGCATCACCATCATCATCATCATCAGCAACAGCAGCAGCAGCAGCAGCAGCAGCAGCAGCAGCAGTTGCTTCACGAGGACTACCGGCCGATTTACTTCTACGTGGCGCAGCCCTACACGATCCCGTACACTTTCGCCAAGCGACCGAAGCCAGCGGCGTCGTCGTTGCTGAGGACCGTCGCTAAGCCGTCGTCCGCGCGCAACTGCCGCGTCAAGTTCTCCAGGAGGCTCGGCAACGCCGACTTCTCGCAGAAGGTCAAGCAAGGCGAATTCTCCAGGAGTCTGAATCAAGTGCACTTCGCGGAGAGTCACGGCCAAGGTTGTCATTGTTCTCATTAGCGTCCCTGTCGTTCGCTCACCTCGCCGAGTAGATCGAAGTTCTCGCAAGCGCTCTTCTCTCCCGTGGCGCTTTCACGCCACCGCAGATTGGACTCTAGCAGACCGAATAATTGCCCGCGAAAGCGGCGTTTCTGCGTGGCATAATTTTAATGGCGACTGTCATCAAGTAGATTATGCCGAGACCCACGCGACGCGGCACGTCTCGTTCTCTTTCTTCCTCCGGCGCGTGTCGCACGCGTCTCCGCTCGGTTAAACGAACGGAGAAAACAGGGAGAAAGGAAACGAACGGTGCCGGGGCGCGTGATGACGCGAGACTTCAGGAGACAATCGCGTAAGAATCTGTCTCCTCGAGGCTTCTGCTGAAAAATTCGATCGAAGACATCCCGTAAAATGTAAGCAACGAACAAATCGACCAACCACGGTTGGTCACATGATTCTTACGGTTCGAGAAAATCATCGATTGGTCAACTTTCTTATTGCTTAAGTCTCAGACTAGCTTCACACCTTGGCAAAAGAGCAGGAAACAGAAAAGCAAACGCTAATCAGAACTTTGCGCTAGTAGAAAAGCAGGAACTGTCGACTATCGCCTGACCACCAGCGCGGATTCTAACTGGCGTCTGTCTTACTGCTTTCTGCTTAAGTACGAAGCCTCCCTTACTGCTTACGTTTTTCTATGCGTCCAGTTTTTAAATCGTAATTACGTCTTGCCTATTTCAACTTGCATAATTCTCCGAGCGCGCCTGTGATACTTTCGCCTCCCGGGATCAGCGCAGTCAGCGCTACTCGCGCCGAGAAGATCCTTTCCGAGGGGAACACTGAAACGGCATTCCGTCTCGTTCGCGGGATCGAAGCGTTCCGGCGTTAAAAATTTGTACTGTTATTCCCGGCAGTGGCGGAGGCTCTCTCTCTCTCCCCTCGCTCTTTCTCTCTCTCTCGCGGCTTCTATCCGACTGTTCTCCTCTATACGGCGTAACGCGCGTATCATGTTAATAAGATGCAGCGAGGCGAGACACTATTCCACGCGAGATCGCGAAGACGTTTGCTTTCTGCGCTATGTGCGAGAGATAGAGAGGACGTGGCGGTTCATTTTACCTCGACGCGGCCGCGGAAAGTATGAGTTTGGCGAGCGGACTCGGATTTTCTCCTCTTTCCTTTTCGGTTTTCCTCTCTCCTCTCGAAAGAAACGCTCTTTCGACTCCGTCTGTGGTAGGAGTCTCCTCCAGACTCGAACGGAGAACCTCGGAAAGGAGGTCCTTCTTCTCCGCGCACGCTGAAAAGCGGAGGAGAACGCGCGAGATACCTTGAGCGGCGCGGTGATCCGAGACTCTTTGTAACGAGTTTCCGGTGAGTTTCCGGAGCTCGTGACTGGCGCGAAATCACTTAGTGGTATAACGGAACTCCTCTAACACGTTCCCTTGCTTTGCAGTGCTCGCGAGCTTCCCGAAAGCTGGACCGTCGTCGCGCGACCCGAGGATGACGTCGATGTTCCGCCGGGGCACGATCTTCGCGACGTTCTTCTTGTCGTTGCTGGGCGGTGGTCTCGTCTGCGCTGCCCTGGTAACGCAGCACTGGGTGGAGGCGCGACCGTGGAGGACGCCGAATCCTCAAGAGAGCGCCGGCAGGATTCATTTCGGTCTGCTGCAGGGCAAGAAGGAATTAAACGTCGCTTACGGATGGAGGACATATCACGTGTCCGGTATGCTGAGCTACCTCTCTCTCTGCCCCTCTCTCTCGCTCTCTCTCTTTCTCGCTCTTGCTTCCTCTCGCGCTACCACGTTGATTGCATTTCGCGCATATTCGTGCGCCCGCGTGCGAAAAACGCTCGCGCGCAGGATATCGCAACCTTGGGCGGAATGCAGGCCGATTACCACATAGTCGTGCCGGCTGCATCTAATCGGCAAATCGATAGGCAGGACATTACCGTTAGCGAACGCGAACGGCATTCCGTCGCGATTATCGCGATATAAAGGACGCGTTTCGCTGTCGCGTTGCGATAGCTGTTGGACCTAGCCGTTCGCCGATATCGACGTTACGTTCGCTCACAGTGAATGCAGCCACGCGAAAATCGTGTATCCTGACCGTCTCGACGTTGAGAGATCTTGTCTTGGCCGGCTCTTGGACGACGCGCATTGCGCCACGCGCGAAAAGGATTAATCTCCGCTGCAACAATGCATAATCATCGCGGCGAAGAGCGAGCAAGCAAGCGAGTGAGCGAGCGAGCGACTTTTACGTAGGCTATTACGCTGTCGCTTCCGGGGAAGAACAACAGAATCGCCGGCACGCGCTGTGAGAAGCGTTTCTCTTTCATTCATCCGGCTAATAGGTTCGAAGGGCAAAACGCGCGTTCCACGACCGTGCACACAGGACGCTCCGGGAACACGCACACCTCGGATGTTCATTCGTATTTCTGCATCTCGCTGATTTAGAGCAACGATTTGTCCCCAGGACGGGATATACATTTAAGAGAGAATGCCTAAAGTAGCCCCGGGGCGTGTGTAGATGAAACGTAGCTCGATTGAAGGTGCTTATTGAGTATGTCAGAAACTGTAATGGCACTGTTATTAGAAAACGTCACAGTCTTGAGATATAATAATGCGATTTCTGAAACATTTTTAGTGCGCTACTTTGAGTTATGAAGCTTATAAAACAATGCAATGGGGCTTTTTTAACAGGCATTAGTATATCTATCAAGATGCACCAGGTTTTAATCATATACCCTCCAGGGCCAATGACCTGGATCAACAAGGATCTGAGCACTCTTTTTCCTCGTCGGACGTGTAATCGCGCGCGCGCGCTCCTGTGCGATGTATAGGTGCGCGATAAAAAAAAAAGAAAAGTGTGAAGTTACGAGACACATGCGGGTAACAATAGACGCAGAAACTAGTTCCTGGCGCGCGCAAAAATCAACGGCCAAGCCTCGTGGTCTACTTTCACGCGCGCACGCGGTTCGTATCATCAGCGTTGCTGATGCTGACCGCGGTAAGAGTATCGGATTCCGGGACGCGATCGCGATTCAGCGCGGGGAAGAAGAAACGGTCTCGCTTGTGAATTCGCAGGAAGGAACAAGAAGAGGGAATAATGATTTCCCCGACGGTGAATATCGGCAGTAATCATCAGTTCCACGCGAGAACAGTTTTGTGATCTCGAAACTTTAGTCAGAAGCGACTAATGTCGTTTCGTGACGTTTCAGATTTTCGTCGGGAGCGGCTTTCAAGCGTTGCGAGTGATAAATGCGCCATATCGGATTGAAACGATAAGAATGCCGTGCGACTCCGCCGCGGAGAGATACGTTTTCGTGTACCCTGAGCACTTTATAAGGCGGACGGCGTTTTCGAGCCGGCGATACTACTCGCGGAACTTGGCCGCCGCCTCCGGCGAATGCAATGATCCGTTATTCACGCCGTCGTAAGTTGAAATGTCTCGCGGAAACTTCGTCGTACCGTGGAAGCGTAATGCGCGAAATATTCCCACTTATACACTCTCGGCCTCTCTCTCTCTCTCTTTTTCTCTGTCTCTCTAACTATCTCGCTGCTGCTCTTTTCCTCCTCCTCCTTCTTCTTCTCAAGCGTACGTCACGCTTGAGTATAAAATGCAATAGCAGCGGCTTTTAGTTTTCTCAGAGCGCAATACATCCGCATCAGTGAAATGCGTTTGAAGCCGTCGAACGCTGCGTATATTTTTCAGACGCGCAATTAACGGAATCGCGAAATTCCCAGATGCAACGTATTAATCACTCGTGAGAGATGCCTTTATGTAAATCTCATCATTGATCATTGTATAATCATCGATTCTCCTTCAAACTCAAACGATAATGTATAATGTAATTAATGCGCATAATATAATTATATGCAATAATACACGCATTAACATTGGCTAGCCAGCTCAAATTCACAAAATGATTATAGGTCATTGATTAAATTTGTTTAGCCACGTAAACAACGACAAATCTTATTTTTCTTGAGAAATCACGGTTCAACGTATATTTTACACGAGTCGAATGTATCGATTGACAGACTTCTAGATTATTTGTCAAATATATCGTTGATGATACATCAGCAACCAACGTGTTAAAAAAAGAAACTCTGTGTATCGTTACACAATCGACTTCAACCAGCGTTAAAGTATATTTATTTAATAACGTTTCAGTTCCTCAAATGATTCGCCAGGATCCGTCGGTCATGTCCTGGTCCCTGTGGATCGGTACTCTGACGACGACATCGGCTGCTCTGGTAGCGGCTGCGCTCGCTGCACTCTTAGCAGTTCTAAACACGGCTACTTCACCGAGATCGAAGATTCTGGCTATTCCCAGTGTATACTTCATAAATATATTAACACGTGAGTACCTGCCTTTCCTCTTAAATTCGCAGTTTGATACTTTTTGGTCGCACGTGCCGACGCGCGAGTTTACAATCGCAATTTCCTTCCAGTATTGATGTGCTTAGCAAGCACTTGCACTTGGTTAGCGCAATATTATACAAAACTGTACATCAATGTGCTTCCAAAGGAGGACATCGACAATATGTGGACCAGCGAAGGCTCCGCTGAGCTTGGCTATTCATTCTGGTAAGCCGCTCTTATTACCGAGAATATAAAGCGCCCGTTTCAAATCGAAGGCTTTTCACCGCCTTACTGCAGCAAAGTGTTGCAAATCCGCCAAATGTATTTTCAAATATTCACTATTTTCTATCACTTTCCGCATTCCCGTATGTTTCCCTTCATACTCCTGCGTCATTTGTCGAGTTGAAGCAGGCATTCTAAAATTTTGAAATTTGCAATAGGAAACGATAGGAATTGTAATCTTGAAATTTTGTAAAAGAAATTTGAGATACGTACTTGATCCAAGTTAAATGATGCAAAGTACAATTGATCATTACGCGCTTTTCATTCAGGCTCGTCGTTAGCGCCGGCGTTGTGCACCTTATCAGCATAGCATTGGTCGGCTGGGGATCAGGCAGAGAGAAGGATGATCGTCTGGAACCAATACCTGCGCTCGAAGAGAAGACAGCCGCGGCGATAATGTTATATTGAACGTTGCGACGACGTTGATGAAACAATGGGACATCCACGCAGCTGTTTGATCGACATTGACGCGCGTGTAGTTCGCAAATTGGCAGTGTCCACATCTAAGAACGAACAGACGCAGAAACTGGATGAACGATTTGTGTCTCGCGCAGTTCCTATTGATACCGTCGAGCGTCTCGTGTGATCGCGATGTACAAACTGCCAAAAACTTGTATGGAAAAAACGCTTTATTATAACTTATACTATACATTATTACGTCTTACTGATAAGGCCGCAATCTAGACAATAATCAAATTCAGATCCGACCGGTCTGAATCGATAAGTTGAGATTTCTATTGTTAAACACTGCAAAACTGCAAAACTACTACTGCAAAACACTCGTATACAGACGTATGTGTGTAAATGATGCGCTATCAAATACGAGACGGCACGTGAGAGTGTCGTCCAGTTCACATACGTTACTTCACTGCCGAAAGTTTTTTTTATATTCCCAATATTCGATACTCGAGAATAATTCTCTTTAGATTTAGCGCTCTATTTCTCTTTTATTTTTTATTTTTTTTTTTTTACAAAGACGATTACTTTGACTAGACTGGGCTCTTTAAAACAATAACATACGTGGTTTAAGTAGTTGTAAAGAAGAATATATCCGATAAGTAAACATGGCGTGCCTTTTCTTCGAGGCATAGAATTATTTCTCGCGCAATTACTTCTCGGTATTTTACTTCTTTTTATATATATATATATATATTTATAAAACGTACGCTTACGTTAATTCGCAGTTGAATTTAAATTGTAAATCGCATGTGAAACGCGATATGAAGTGTAAATACAATAGCAAGTTCCCTCTCCGACGTTATTTATTTTAACGATGTCGTGAGTATGATAATAAGACTGCGAACAAAATTACGTTATACATAAAATAATATAATTTCGTTTGCTGTTTTATTATTAATATACAAGGTGGCCCACTGAAAACGAAATAGATGTGTTTTTGGCAATTAACTTCATTTTTTCAAAAAAACGCTTGGACACATCAATTTTATTTGCAAGAGGGACATGTTAATTAACTATTTCTGTTCATCTAATTTCCATCCTATGAGAGAGATTAATTTCACCATAAAAATTTTGAATAGAAAGGAGTGTCTAATGACATATCATTTGAAAGTCGCTGACGAATTCGCTTTGCAATAGTAAATAGTTTTGATTTTTTAATTCTGATTATTTTACTTCTTAAATAAACGCGTTCTAAAGAAATAGTATTTATTACAACTACAACCCCAAACTCACAAACTTGCAACCCCAATAGCACAAATTTCCCAGGGACATTCTAAAGACGCCCAGAAGTCGTGTGTGTTAAGAATATTCATGGAATATCGTGTGCTGCCTGGAAACTTACGTGTCAGCGTAGTAAATATTGGAAATGACGACCATTAGCTTGCATGCAATAATAAATAAAAATTATTTCAATCCTTTCCGCAATCGAATTTGCAGAGACAACGAATACTAGGAAAATAACGACATGTTACTTGTCGATAAAGACATAGATTGTGGTCCGTTTAGATTTAAAAGGCACCGCAAGAATGTTTTTCTCAATGTAAACAATACGAAGATTGAAATCCGCAGGTAAACAAATACACATAGACAAACGAAGAGACATTAAAGCGAATTCATAGAACTTTCAAATGGTATGTCGTTAGATCTCTTATAATAGAAAAAATAAAGTTGACGTGTCCGAACTTTCAAATGGTATGTCGTTAGATCTCTTATAATAGAGAAAATAAAGTTGACGTGTCCGAACGTTTTTCAAATGAAAAATGATATTACCCACACAGCAGGAATGTCCCAAATACATCATAAGGATATCTTGAAGATATCACATATCCTAAATATATTTTTAGGATATCCCTATGATATATTTTGGACACTTCTGCTGTGTGAGTAAATGTTAATTTAACAATATGCCTGTTTTGTTTTCGATGGGCCAATCTCGTATATATACATACATATACATGCATTCTGTGTACATTCTCTTTGTTACAAAAGCTCTGTCGTTATTGTATACTTCATAAAATGGCTCATGTGTATTGTACATGGCGGTAAGTTAGTCGTTAGTGTGCGGCAGGAAGAGAAAGATCTCTCGCGAAGAGAGATATATGACGATAAGAATACGCGGGATAATATAAAAAGAACCGAAATTACAAAAGCGAAGTCTTTTGATTATGCCGATTAACTTGTTTGCAACGGGATATTGTTCATCGTGTGCGAAACGGAGAAGGGAAATAAACGATGAACATGTGCGCGTGTGTACGACTTGAGATACCGCATTTGATACTGCTAAGTTAACAGCGAAGATTAGCTCTGGAGAAGAAAATAAAGTTAACTTGTATCTCACGCACATCGTTGGACTTTTTTATATTATTCTGCGGTAACATTTATCGTTATTAAAAGAAAGAAGAATGGCCCACATTATACGAGAATAGCTTACTCGGACGGTATGGAAGTGCCTTTTCGTGCCTATTGTCTTACGCGTGGCTTTATTCTCCCAGGCAGAGGAAGAGTGTTGAGTCAAAGGAGCGTGGAGTACTAATCGTAAATCGAGCACAAAGATAATTATTATCGTAATCGATTTATATAATACGAGCGAGGGAAACGGAGAGTGTGCGACTTTAAAGATTAAACGTAACGTATTTAACTAGAGTTAATTGAATCGATCTTATGTATTGACGTATGGCTTACTTTTTAACGTAATTACCATGTTAATTTTACTATTTATTCATTTTTCCAATAATAGGAAAACTCTCGAACATCATAAAAAATCTACTTCTTTTTCGCAAGTGTCATCTTATGGACATCTGTTTCAAAGGGTTTGAGAAAATTTTGAGCATGCAGTTTCTCGTTTCTGAAGTCATCAGTTAAGAGGATTTGTTTCGCCGTAACGACGACAGATTAACAACCTTAATTACACATACACACTTTCGAATATGTGTATAGTCGAGACTGCAGAAGCAGGATCTTTCGATTATATCGATCGATTCGATTATATCGTCGAGCTGTCCTTTACCATGCAAACCATAAAAAGGGAAAAGAATGACAAACGTGTGTGCGTATGTATGATTCGAGATACCGCACACTTTACTACTACAAGGAATACTCGCAAAGTATCCATCCCTGATTTTCATGAGCCTTGGCAAACTTGTAAAATAGTCAAAATTAATAGACATTTTTTATCTGTTGAGACGCAAGTTTAAATTAAAAATACTCCTTAAAGTTTCATCACATGGTGATTTCTATCATATTGGTAACTATTCATAAGTTTTACAAATATCTTTTAGTTTTTCGTATAAAATATAATGGTCTACGTATAGGAGGAAAATATATAAATAATCAGTAATATTCCATATTTAAATAATATGAATATAGAAATATACGTGGTCGCGCGCATTTCCGTGAACCGTGCTTGGTAATGCGAGAGTACTCTACCATGACATCGTTATGCACGCTACCAAGAACACGGTTCACGGATGTAAACTCGCCTAATCATATGCTATGTGAGTGGATTCAGATTAAAAAATAAGGTCACTTTTTCGTCATTGTAGTAATTGTAATAAATTAAAAATTGAGGCTGGCAAATTATTTTGCTTAAAACTAGTTTTTAATATATGGACCATTGTATTTTAAACAAAAAAATATCTAATCGTTATATTTTAAATAAAAAAAATATCTATCCGCGTTGGATATACGAGAAAAACTTTTCATATATCCAACAGTCACCATGAAAGCATGAAACTTCAGGAGATAGTTCTTCTTTCTTCTAATTTTAATCTTATGACCTGGAATTCTTATTCCTTTGGCCAGTCTCACAAATAGAAGATAGTTTTATATTTGTTAAACTTGCGTTTTAGCAAGTAAAAGAAATAGATGCGTGTCTCTTAATTTCAACTATTCTACAAATATATCAAGCTTCATCGTAATTGAAGATGAAACTTTGCGGATGTTACTTGTAAGCTAACAACGAGGGCTTAGGATTGGAGATATCAATAAAATGTTCTTGTATCCTATAAATCCTCGTCGGACTTTCGTATATTATCCCACGCTTCTTTATATTTAAGCAAAGATTTTTTTTTATTTTAAACGAAGCTGTGAGTCCATTGTTAGCGCCGACTGACTTTCGACCAACCATCATCCTCCAGCGGTCGTCTTCTCTCGTCGGGCCTAGGCGGAAGTCTGTCGTCCTTACGTTCGTCCCGTCTAGAAAATACAAACAATTACGTTATAACATTCGTTAAAGTGCGCAAGAAAATTGCGTCATGTACTTAAATCGCAGAAACCACTATCATATTCGAACACTTACTCCCGCTTAAGTGGATCTCTAGGAGAATCTGGAGGCGGGTCACGTTTGCGCCAGTCCTGATTGGTGCTTCGTGTCGGTTCGTCACGTCGATAACCACCGCGACGGTCAGACATTCTGCCGCGGTCTCGATCGGTTGCCATAGGATCCCGAGGAATTTCACGTATCTGCAATAAAAATAGAGTGACAAACATTTGTTATATACTTTTGTAAAAGTACTTTATTACGGTTTGCAGTTTGTCCAAATGTTCATTAAGACATGTATTTAAGATTGTAAAAAAATTGTCTTGTAGATTGTAAAAAGATTAATGATTGTAAAATATGATTGATAAATATGATTGATAAATATGATAATTAAAAATTAATGATGAAAATATATGCTTACCGAGCGTCCATCCATTCCACGATCGCGCTCACGTTCACGATCACGATCGCGCTCACGATCACGATCGCGCTCACGATCACGATCGCGCTCACGATCGCGTTCACGATCGCGCTCACGTTCACGATCACGGTCACGGTCGCGATCACGATCACGTTCGCGATCGTCTTTATCGAAGTTGTCCCTCCATTTCTCCATGCTATCCTTCCACCTATCCGACTCGTCGTTTCTTCTCCACTTGTCCACGTCGCGTCGTTCTGGTTCCCTTCGTTTCCATGAGTCTTCGATTTTGTCGTCACGCTTCCTCCAGCGATCCGCTTCACTCTTGAGTCCATTGGAGTCTTTAGGATCAGGATTACGTCGCCATGATTCCAACGCTAATAAAAGAGAAAAGAACGATTAAATTCAATCAAGTAAAAACACATCCATAATATAGAAAGATATATTGTATACTTACAAGGTTTCGGGCCATCGCGTTCACGTTCGCGCTCACGTTCACGTTCACGATCACGATCACGATCACGATCACGATCACGATCACGATCACGATCGTTCTCTCTGTCCATACGCCGCCATGTTGTCGCCAGTTCTTTGCTTCGCTGCTTTTCTTCCTCCAGTTTACGCTCGATCTCGGCCTCCCTAGATCGCATGATTTCAGATTGTTTCTTAAGCTTGGCTAAACGTTCCGCTTCCCTGGCCTCCTCTTCGGCCCGTCTGATTCTCTCCTCTTCTTCCCTCTTGGCTCTCTCCTCCTCCAAACGCTTCTTCTCTTCCTCCTGCTTGATACGCAACTCCTCCAAGCGCCTTCGTTCCGCGGCCTCGGCGCGTTCCTTCTCCCATTTCGCTTTGCGCTCCGCTTTACGCTGATTCTTGCGCTGCAACAGTCTCTTGGCACGCTCTTCGTTCAGCAGCTTGTCATACTCTTTCTGCTTCTCCAGATATATATTTTTACGTTCCGCCAAGATCTTGGCAAGGAAGATGTCGTGGTCGGTCTTCATACGCGCCATACGTTCCTGCGTAGCAACCGCCTGTTGTCTCTCTTCAATGGCCGCGGCGATTCGCTCGTCCTCCTGCTGTTTCCAGCACTGCTTCGCCAGCTCCATCTTTTCCTCCACCGCCTTCTCTAGCAACGGGATTTCCTCTAGACGTTTAGCGCGCTCCAAGTAGTCAACCTTCTTTTCTTGCGATTTGAGTTTCTGCTGCATCTCCCGGCGCTCCTTCTGCAGCTCTTCGGCTTCCCGGGCCGCTATCTGTTCCGCGTCCAGCTTCTTGATCTCATCTTCGTCCAGTTTCTTCAAAACCTTCTGGCCGTGACTCGTCTGAGAGATCTGCTGCATTTTTTCTTTAAGATGTCGATCCTTGATCTGCTGGATCTCACTCTGCTGGCGTTTCCGCTCGCGCTCTTCGCGTTCTTGCTCCATTCTCTTCTGCTCAGCCAACATCTGCTGCCGCTGGAGTTCCTCTTGTCTGCGCATCTCCTCTTCCTCGCGCACGGTGTTGATGTGCTCGATGTATTCTTTCCTTTCCTCAATGATCTTGTGTCTGCCCAATATTCTCTGATGTTCTTTCATCTTAGTCTCATGGTAATGGCCGACCATCGCGTTACGCAACTTTTCCCGTTCGAGCTTCTTCTTATTGGGATTGATCACATTAATGGCACGATGCAGCACGGTCGCCATGTTGACGAGCTGGCAACGTATCTGCTCAGACGGCATCGCCTGCAGTACCGGACCGTCCGGGTGATCTTCTCGTTGCGCCTCCGACAGGTCCACGCCGAAGTGTACGCATGTTTTGCCGTGATCTATCCTGATTTGCATGTCGTTGTAGCGCACGCAATCCACTAGCAGCCGCTCTAGGTGAAAGTCGGTAGTGAATTTTGCGAGTTCCAGTAGTCGTGAGAACTGTATGGTCTGGTAAACCTGAGAAATTTGGTGTACGAGACGCACCAATGTCACGTCCTGCAACGCCGAGATATATTGGGTCAACGGGCTGTTCTCATCTGCTTGCAACGTCTGTATAACAGAATCAACTCTGCTACACAGCTCCAATGGATGGAACTCCACCTCCAGCCACGAGTACAACTCCTGCAGCTGGGGCGACGCGAGCATTACCACGTTCAGACGTACAATGTCCTTAAGAAGAGAAACGCGAGTAGGCGGCTGTGAAAGACCCAAAAGCGTCGCAAGCTTTTGTGCCTTTTCCAACGGGGTTTTGTCGGTTTCTATGAAGCGGTCAAATTCCGGATGTGCCGACGGCAATGGTATTGACAAAGTCGCCAATAGCACGCGATTAGCCATTCGCTGTTGCTCCTCCGATGACATGTTCTTCTTCATCTCGCGGGACAGCTGGAGCAGTTTGAACAATGCGGCCGCGTGAAACAGAAAATTACCGGCTTTCCAGAAGACCATCGCCAATTTCTGATAGTAGTTGGCCATAGTCTTCGGCACCGGCAACTTCTTCGATAAGTTCATCATACCATGTACGTCCTCGGACGATTTGAAGGCTTCCTGCCAGAGTTCCATCTGTATCGCTGAGTCCAACTGATTCAATCTGGTTTCGAGATTCAGCTGCTGCGTCTCAGCCTTGTTCATGGAAACGTTCGACACCAGCTGCGGTAGTTTGCAGATTTCCTCGAGATGCTTTCGCAATTTCTCGCACAGTTTACGAAATTCAGTCTTACGATTGTACTCAAGACAAAACTGGAAGGCCATACGCGCGATATCATGATAGAGGGTCTCTACGTGCGCGTTGGTTCTGAGCAACTCCAAACATTGGCAGTATGATTCCCATAAGAATTTCACCCAAGGTGTCAATATAGTGCGGTCACTTCTGTCCTGGGCGTCCTCACCACTCACAGCGGACAGTAGGATGCTCTCTGGCGTGGCGAGATTGTCGAGATCGTCAATATCGATCACTGCTTGCTGGCTCTGCTTGCGAGCTGCATTCGTTTTCTCCTCAGCCATTCTCAGGTAGCTGCGTATCACATTTTCCAAACTGCCCACATTGACAGACTGGAACATGTTTCTGTACTGGAACAGACCCTCCTTGGCTATGTGTGACTTTTTTAGTTCCACACACAGGTCCAAGTACTTGTACATTATGGGCTCCAACACAGATTCCGACCAACTGTACGTCCATTTTTTGTTACGGAAGACTTCTTGTAATGTATCTAAAGCTCGGGCTGGTTTGCCCACTTCAATAAATTCTGTTGGAAAAGAAGGAGAATCAATAACGATATATCATGTTAGCCATATGGAATACAAAAATTGAAACAATTTCTTTGATCACAGGAACAGAAATAGTATGTATTATAATAATCAATCTAATACATTGCAGTAAAGTATAATGACAAATGTCAATATTGTTACAAAGAACTTAAAAATCTCAGTTTCTCTATTCTTAGATTTTATTAGCTGACACGGAGGATCTACATATACAAGAAAAAGTGAAAAGAATGCTTGATAGAAAATATATCTGAAGGAAAAGCATCTATTGTTGTTTCAGTTACTTATTATGATTATATAACAGAGAAGGCTTATGACTACGTAACAAGAGATACTAATTTATAAAATAAAGTCAATTTAACGTAAAGATATAACTAAAAGATTTATACAGCTGAACATGAAGTGCAGGTCCAATATTTATCTATTATCTATAAAAGCAGAAATTCCTCTAGACATAATTCCACTATTTTCCAATGATCAAATGCATAATTCCGTTTGTCAAGATAGCTTCACGTGTATGAGCCTAGTTAGTTAACATGGTCAGAATGCGAATACATATGGTCATGGCAACTAAATTCCATCATATGAGAGACAAAGAAAGACAGAGAGAGAGAGAAAGTTACAGGTAAGCGACACGCAAGCAATTTTCACTGTGCGACTTTTGGTGTGCAGCGGTCGCCCATAATTTACGTTATAATCGAGGGAGAGACAAAGTTAATTGAGCATGTCGTAAACAACATAAAGTGAAATTTTTCTCTCGCGGCGGTATGCCCATGCCATCGGCCATGTCGTACCGCATCACACGTATCGCACGTTAAGTAGAAAAATTACACACCATACGCCCGTTTCAAGGCGTTCTCAGGACGCTGCCCGTATCGCGCCATGATTCTTCTTCGAAATCGCAGCTACAGTTCCACCATAAAAACCGTATAAGGATTCACAGGATCTCGTGAGCACTCCGTACTGAAATTAAATTCCGATGCACCTGAATGTCGCCCGCAGCTCTTCCTCGGCATCTACCTCACCAGTGACTAGACCGCGTGTACCGGATGAGGAGGCGGTTGGTTAGGAGAGAAATTGATTTCCGGTAATACGTAAGTCATATGACGGTAAACTCGCGTCGGTGAATTCGTTCCTCTGGGTTGTGTTCGAAAATGTCACCTATGTGGCAAGAAACGACGCAGTATTCAATCATGTTATTTTGTCATAAGAGCTAGAAGTTTTTAGAAGTTTATTTACTACTGTGTTGTTTATTGTCACGATAGTCAAGGTTGCACTCCAAAACATTTTTTTGAAAAAAATTTTACACAATACCCTATAGTGGATGCTTTCCATTTAATAACACAAGTCGATACAAGCATCATTCTGTCTTTTAGCATGTTCGACTGGCTCTCGGTTAACTTAGGTTGCTTTTCAACAAAAGACACAAGTCGACATAAACATCATTCTATCTTTGTTCCACATTTAGTGAGTAACAAAAATAGGATGATACTTATGTCAACTTGTGTCTCTTGTTGAAAAGCAACTCTAGAGAACCTCTAGTACAGCGAATCGCCAACTTGGTCCTTCCTTCCTTGCTTCAATTTATGGCTCGGGGAATATTTTTCCCTTACGTCAGCTTCCCGATTAAATGAGGATCAAATAAAGCTTGGAAAATTCCAAGGCCGTTCCAAAAATCTATGGTCCGAACTTGTTCGAACATGTTTGGTCATGACGGCGGTTAGGCAGAGATCTCGCCAACTTAGAGTTATGTTTATTGGTTGGCGAATAGAGTATTTCTAGGTTCTCTGTTCGTCAACCAATGAACGTATCCAAAAAGCTTGTCGTACGACACGTGAAATAGCACCCTAAGTCATGTGAACCTATGTCAGCTATTCAACTACTCTGCTGGCATAACATATACGGATTTGGACATTGCGACGCCGATGCAAAACCATATATATATATATATATATATATATATATATATATATATATATATATATATATATAAGCATTTGTTCTGCATTGGCGTCGCAATGTCTAAATCCGTATATATTTATGGGTGCGTTCCGTTTCCATGCATAATGCGCATGAAGCGCAGCGTTAGAGTGACAGAAATACAAAAATAAGATAAAATGAGAGGGAGAGCACTCGGGTGAGGTTCTCGAACCTAGGGCTGCGTTCAGATTCCCTACCCGGGTGCATTCTAATACTAAAAGTGCTATAATATATGTAACATATACTATAGTGTTTCTAGTAATAGAATGCACCTGGGTAGGAAATCTGAACGCACCCTAGGTTAGATTAGCTCTCGAACGCATGAACTGCATCAGCTCCGAGGTAGTGCAGTCTATGCGATCTCATGCGTTCGAGAACTAACCTAACCTAGGTTCGACAACCTTACCCGAGAGCTCTCTCTCTCTCTTTATCTCACTCTCGTATCTCTGTCACTCTAACGCTGCGTTTCATGCTCATCATGGGGTGCGTTCAGATTCTTCATCCAGGTGCACTCTATTACTAGAAACACTATAGTATATGTGACATGTACTATAGCACTTCTAGTAATAGAATACACCCGGGTGTGGAATCTGAACGCAGCC